AGATATATATAATACGTTTTTCGCTCAACAGTTGCATCTCTGGTGATCTCGGTAAGTTCTATTGTTTCTATTGGAAAATCTGCCATTTTGTTGCCTGATAGTATTGGTAGCGCCATATATTGTATATAATTATATAAAGCATTAAAGAATTCTTTTTTTCTTATTATTTTATTATACTATGGTAAATAGCGATTAAAATAATTAACAGGTGCTGCTTTTGATCGACTATGAGTATGACATGCATGTTGATTTCTGCTATAATCTCTATGTAAATTAAAACCCACATAATTTTTTGGTATTTTTACAATGTTATTTATCTCTTGTTACTTCAATTTACGGTCAACTAGAAGTAAAAACTACTTTCTGATTTTTTTAATATTTTTGTAGATACCAGCTTCAGTTGCGCGACTAAAGCTTTTGACGTCAGATATCCACTGCACAGCCACATTTCAATTCGGTGCAGCAATAAATCTGGACTGATTTGCATGCCATTGAGTAGTCTTAAAACTTAATAAGTCATTCTTTTGCCTCAACAGTAAGAAAATGTAATGAATGGAATTTTTCAATCCATTATCATTATTATTTTCAATCATTATACGATTATTATTTAATCATCATTTCGAGAATGCTGAAAATCGTTTCACAAAAATTACTGGCACTTATTAGTTAATAATTAGAATGTTGTTGATTTTAATATATATCATATAAAACATATAAACATAAACATGTTTTATAAAACATGTAGTCTCTCAGACCCAAAACCTTACAATTCACCCTTGTTCTGGTTCGCGTGAAATTATTTTTTTATTGATTCAAATTAAAAAAACTTATGGAAATAATCAAAATTTCAGAATCCTTACACTCTTGCTCGATGTGATCATCTTTTGTCTTAACTATGGCCTTCAAACAGTTAAAAAAAAAAAAGAATTGCGTGCTTCACGAATGTAATCTTCCGGTATTTTGGCCCATTTTTGAACAATGGCTTTCTTCAGCCCAGACGGAATAGTCGGATGTAGTGGATTTGTTTCTAGCGAATTCGAAAGCCATTGTGTGAACGAAATGAAGTGTTGAACATCAGACGGTGTCGAATCTTGTTGGAATGTCCATAGTCTACAACCGAAATGTTTGTATGTCCACGGCTCTAAAGCAACTTTCAAAATATTTTCCATCTTTCCAATAATAAGTTGCATTGACTTTGACATCAGGCTCAATGAAAACTATTTGAGAGTGTCAATCGGCAGTCACAGCTGCCCATACCATTACTTGAGATGGAAAAAGAAAATTACTTTCATCGAATGGGTGGCCATTCAGTTCAGTTCGTACATGGAAGTAGACTATCATGATATATTAGTTTTACAGGCGCATATAATCAGTAATGGATTAGACTTATTACAAATATCTATTCTTAAAAAATTCTATTTACTCTGCGCTCATTTTATAGTTAATCAAAAGAAATAGCTAATTTGCTTGAGTGTTTCTTAGAAAAATCATGTCAACCATATAAATTAGATGTAGGTCTATATTTTTTGATATCTGATCTTGAACCATTATTTAGAATAAAAGTGTAGCAGTGTAGCATACATATAAAAAATTTAATGCTTTTTTTTTTTAAAAGTAAATTTCCATTAATGTTATTTAATTAAATTTCGATCAAAACATTTGTACTTTAAACGGAAATAAACAGAATTCACTATTTTTATTTAAAGTAAAAGAATTAAGAAAAATGAATTGACTGGAATTTTACAGCACTGACCTCTGTTCATATAGTTATATACACGTGTGTGATATTTTTATATTATTCTAAAAATATTCAATAAATAAACACGAATATTTATATATATCGCTAATTAAGTAAGTGCTAAGAAATATATTTTTAACAGAGCATATGCCCACTTGGATGCGTTTGCTAAAATATTAATTATTTAATTGAATTATAGATTTTTATGCAATACTCATATATATGTAAAAACTTTGGATTTAGATATGAAAGTTCTTTACTGCATAAGTCGATTACTATTGCTATGTTCCATTCTAATTAATTAATAGTTTCGAATAAATTAATTTATAGGAAGGCTATGAGGTTGTTGGTTACAAAACCTCATAGGGCTGTGCTTGTGAAAATCGTTTGCGGGGTGGTGAGCAGCACATTGTCATCGTAGTTGACGAGTGACTCCGAAATCCATTTTGCCTTGACTATGGCCCTCAGTTAAAACAGTTAAAAAATGAGTTGTACGCTTCACGAATGTAATCTTCCGATATTTTGGTGTAAGATCTTGTACCTTTTGGAACTTGAGCACATTTTGGAATATGCGTATATATGTACAAATTTCAAATATATGTGTAACTAAAACACAACTTTAATTCAGATTTTGAGCAAATTTTTTTCCAATATATTGTTTAAACCTTACGATTATGTATGGAATGCAATACTATTTAATAGTTCTCTATGCAACATCTTAGAGTACTGAATCCTTTTAAGACAACTTTCGATGTAGTGCTAGTAAATAACTTGACGAATTTTCGAAAGTTCAAGGATTGTTAATATAAACACGATCCTTTGCAGTAATTTACAAATTAAAGGTGCAGTGATGACAAATCGCAAGATCTTGATTTTAAACAAAGCCGAAAAAGGTTTAAGTGTGCGGTATATGACACTGCCTTGTAAAACCTCATACTTTCACATCTTATTGATAAACCTTTTTGATGCAAATCTGATAGAACTTGTAGAAAAAAAGAATAAAGAAAAAAAATAACAATAATAATTTATAAAACAAATGTAATATATTTATATGAGTCATTCTTTTAACAATCAGACGGATTTTGGTAAAAAATGACCTCATCATCTTTGATTTGGCTGAAATGTTTTTCTTTTGAGCTGCTTTCATAAAATATTGATCCATGGGATTTTGTTAGTTAGCATTGTAGACATATTTGGAAACGGCCATATCTACGTCTCCATCTACGCACAATTTCAGACAAATTGGAGATGATACTCCAATAACTCAATAACTTTCAATATATACATATGAGTATATGGTATATGACGTATGTATATAGACTGTTTTACGAGTTCTTATTTAGTTACCGCTTTCCTAGTGGAGCATATGGCCTCGACGATTTCTTTAAATCTTACTATGCTTCCTGTTTGTTTCGTAATTTGATTTTAGGAGCACTATGCGTCTTCCAGCTTCTGTTCCACGGTTCTGTACCATGTCCTAGGTGTGACTCTAGGCCGTCGGCTGCCTTGTGGATTCCAACGTAGGGCATATTTTGTTGTGTTGCAGAATGTTACTTGCGTGTGAGCAATCCACTTTCATTTTCTTCTTTTGATTTCAGTGGTAACTTGAATTTCTTTCGTACGTTCCTATAGATCGGTATTGAATATGCACTGCGGCCAGTAGAGATTGTTTTGCATTGATATATATATTATAGTATATGAATATAAGTATTATTAATAATTTTTGCACAAGTTTTTGAGATAAAATGAATATTATACGTAAACAAATATAATTCTTTAGTAGAAATATGAATTGTTATTTAAAAGCTAATATAGTTAGGCAATTATTTTACTACTTAACAAAACTGTTGTTGCTTGTATATTGATCCATGGATCTAATTTATAATTTTTAATATATATTTAAGGTAGAGAGGTTTTGAAGAGTATTGAACTAAAATACTAAAAGTTCTTTTCGTATTATTTTAATTAATTGTATTTTTGACTGAACATACAGCTGTTGCGAGTATTGCCAAATACCCATCATCAGTGATCTTGGAATTATTTCTTGTATTTAATCATTCCTTAATAATTTTTTTGAGACTACAAGTAGCAAGAGTTAAACTAGTACCCTGCCAAATTCGAAACTCAGAGTCAGGAATATATACATACAGTTAAGCTGCTTTAAAGTCTTTGAGTTCATTCCAATTTATATTTAGGGCTATTTTTGACTGCTACATATCTAGAAACGAAATGTCTATGCTGAAATTTTTAATAAAAGATGTTATCATACAAATGATAACTGGCCACTTTCCACTAAAGAGAAATCCAATCTTATATTCTAATTGAGATGCCCCGTAGAGATATCAGTCTTATGGTAGGTTTATTTACAGGTCACTGCAGACTAGGGAACTATGTTAGAAGATTGAATCTTTCTTTCAATCATACCTGTCGCAGCTGTGGGGAAGATAATGAAAGCGCACCTCATCTACTATGTTTTTGCTCAGCTCATGCACGGCGGCGACTCAACACTTAAGGAGTCTCCTTTCTTGAGAATATTGATCAATTACAAGAACTCCCACTAAGGAGCATTCTAAGATTTGCCACAGGTTCTAGGTGGTTTTAAACCCTAAGTTTCCCTATATGCGGTAATACAATGGGCCACTAAGCCTAAATGGCCGGTATAACCTAACCTAACCTAATAAAATTTACAAACTTGGTTTTTTTGATTTTAAATATAATTAAAATATTTTCTATATATTTGTACATATAGTATATAGTTATTACCAAAATTATCAAGGAGGTGATGGTTAGGTTTCTCTTAAGATTTTTAGGGATAATACAATAGGTCTCATATATCGCCGTGAAACATCTCATACGCAGCAAAGATCTATTTATCATTTAAATAATAATACGATATGTATATATGTATTTATATTTTGTAAATACCCAACTAGTCCAAATCCAATAACCTACCCCAATATTCATTTAAAAACGCTTCATGTATATGAGAGTACTTTCATTTAATATAAGATTTTCAAATTTTCCGATTTTCCGATTTTCCAATGATCTTGTAGTAAAAATGTATGAGCAAATGTAAACAAAGGCATTGTAATTAATGTGTGTTCGATCGGTTGTGTTTGTCGAATATCTGGTGTGAAAGTGTGAATATTTTTATTTAATTTAATTTTATGTGCCACATAAATTAAACTGCAAAACCGTATATCAAAGACACTGTAAATAATCTTAAATTCACAACTTTTTGTATTTATTTATTTAGCAATATATTTTCTAAACAAACACAACTAATACACTTTAAAAAAATTGCGTCAAATTGTGAAAACAAAACGATTACAGCAGATAGCACTTGAGGACTTAACTTACAATTAATGGATATGAATATATAAATTAATTTTTTTGTCAGTGTGCCTAATAAAGAAATAAGTATATTTAAGATGCCACATACAAAAGTGAATGAAAAAGTTTATGACCATCGAATTCTGCAAGATTGGTCGGATGTAGATGAAGACAACGGAATAACACACTATTCCAAAGACATGATCTTTAATGATGGCCATAGATTGTCTATAACTGTATACAGGTAAGATAAATATATAATATATTGAATAGACTTGAAATCATTTTATAAGCATTATTATTATTTGAACGACTTGTTATATTTATTGTTAAAAGTATTGCTTACTTTAGATATCAATCTTACTATTATCAATTACACTCAATATATCTTACAAATATGTCATACCGTAATAATTCTTAAAATTATTAAAGAACACTCAATTCTTAAAATTATTAAAAAACACTTAATGCTTAAAATTATTAAAGAACACTTAATTCTTAAAATTATTAAAGAACACCTAATTCTTAAAATTATTAAAGAACAATTATTTCTTAAAATTATTTAAGAACTATCACAGAAATTTTGACAACGCACTATTGGTTAAATAATCACTCTAATGGATCCCACTCTAATGAAACATGTAGTTCTCAAAATACACACGAGCAGTTTCCCTCGCACTGGTGCATAAAATAAGGTATCTATATTAGGTTGTCATCTTATATCGGATGAAAAAAAAATTTTTTGTTAAGTTGGATTAGTACTATAGTTTATAGAGAAAGTTTGATTTGGAGAATACTCTAAGTAAAATATAAAATCGGCACAATAGAGCTCTAGATTGAAATTTAATTATTCATATTCTGCAGGATTCACTCTTCCATAATCAGTTTTTAAAAGAAATTTCATTTATTTAGTCCAACAATGAGAACTATATAGGTAAAATACAAATTTAATAATAAATTTAATTAATTATTACAAGAAATAAATTTTATGCTAATATACGAGGGTAGCTTAAAGAATTTTTAGAAAAATACAACAAAATAAATATACAGCAGAAAGATCTAATGAAAACAAGACAGATGTTTTTCGACAGAAAATGTTAAAATTAATTCTAGAATCTCTAAAAGGAAATTATGTTACTCATATCTTTAAGATAAAGGCATAATGATGAACGAGTATAATAGGTCAAAGGTTCTATATTTAGTATATTGTTGTTAAACTTCAGCAATTGGAAGACGGATTCCATGTCTAAATATTGCAATAAGACAATTCTACAAAGAAATTGTGAACCGGTATTAATCTGAAAAATTGGAAGACTAAAAATGAACTATATTGCAAGAGACAAAGAAGATAAAAAAATTGTTAACAGGATATCTGGTTACAATACGAATCATAGGATCAATAATGATGAAGAGTAAAGTACATTTCTTGATTTAATTAAAATTTTTTCCTCAACCTAGATATGTTCATTCTGCTATTTTAAAACGGTCTGCCGTTGTGTAGCTAATTAGCTGAATAATTGTAAATTTCTATCCTTTCAATAAGCTTATCATATTTGGAAATAAAAAATAATCTTAAAAAAAAATTCTGGTGTATATGGTCAATGAAAAAAAAGTTTGTAGCAAAATTATAGATACTTCAACATAAAGGTTATGAATTTATAACCCTGAATGTTGTCCGTTCAATATATTGTTGCCAGAATATATGGTAGTATGACTCTGTATAAAACGACAACGATTAGTTCGGAATAACCCATATAACATATATGTATTTTTCTACATTTCGTTTAAATAACTCCTTTAAAAAACTCTTTTTTAAGACTATCTTCAAGGACTTTGGGTGAAGCTCTCTTATTTTTATGAGATTTGCGATCTTTAAATAATTATATGTTCCTATTGTTCAAATTAGATATTGATAGTATAAAATGTGTCTATTATTAAAATTCTTTTAGTTTTGAAATATTGAAGTATTGAAATATTGAACTGAGTTCAACGTCATAGATCTCGTAATAATAATAATACTAAACCTTAGATATTGAGACAACTGACTGTTATGCAAAGTTAAATACGAATATGATTGCCCCAAATTTTATATTATATTAATAATTATATTAATCAGTTATTTTAATTATTAACTGATCGGGCGTTTTTATCACCGCTATGTTCTTTTTTTTTAAATTGTATTGATTTTGGAGCATATAACATTGGTAGTTAACATCAGTAACGCGCCTTTTGCAGTTCTTAAAAAGTGATATTTTTACCATATTTTGGACTGGGATACTACTATATCGCCTTAATATAATAAATAATGCTTTCAGTGTCTACACTGATGGCATCCAATAAACATTTGAGCATGGTGGATCCTAAAGTGGGTGGCTACATTCTGGCACGTAATGTTAAAAAAAGGAGATCGCAGGTTTTTTAAGAGCAAATGCAGGTCGCATTTTCTTTTCTTTTGTCTGAGTCATAGTCTGAGTCATAGTCTAATTCATGACAGTCATTAAAAGCAGCTTCTAATCGTTTCGAATATCTATCTATTAAAAAGTGTTATACCAAGTATTTAATAAGCCAATTTATTTAGTTAGAGCAAAATAAATATATTCTAATAGCCAGCTGTAAGAACTGAAATTAGCAGAAAGGACATCCTGAGTTTCGGTGTGTAATATTTCTCATTTAATTAATAACAATTATTGATAAGGTAATGTCCATATGTATAAAAATTTAATTATGGTGAGTCTTTTGTCCTTTATGGAAAATTCATTCAATTTATATTTAATGGAAATGTAGCTTTGATCTCATACTGCTATTATATGGTCAATAGGAAATTTCGCAAAGCCCCTGCGTCAGATTTCCGTAAAAAAATTATCGGAATTAAAAGAAAAATTTTTTAAACGAATAATAATTAAAGGTGGCAAAAACAGGATCAATAAAATTGTTTAAAAAAACATATTTTGTTAAAACCATCGCATATTTTTCCCTACCAGCTCAACCTGTGATAAAGATTGTTTTGAAAGAAGACGTAGGTGTGGGATTCTATTTTATTACTTTACTATTTGGCTAGTGTTTTTACTTATTATGTAAATATTGGAAAAAAAATTAACCAAAAAGCATATTTGCAATAAACTAACTGACCTTAGGGTACAAAAATTATAAAAGCCAGTATATATCGTACTCGTAGTATGGTATATAGTGCAATAGCAATTATGCCAAAATGTTCCATTAAAACCGCAACGAATCACCTCAGAGTAGTTGCAAAATTTCATATGCACTCATTTTTATGACTTATTTATCCGTTTCTGGTGCACAATTTTTAGTTAATACTTTTATTTTCCCTATTCTCCTTGCACCTCTGGCTTGTGAAGCATATTATTTTTGATCTCGACAATTGGCAACTCAACTGTGCTGTATTTGCTGACAAAGAGGCGACGTGGTTTGCGCGGTCCCTCCCGTATTGACATAATGTTAATGCATTTGGCCATTGCCGATTTATTAGTGACTTTGCTTTTGATGCCGCTGGAAATAGCGTGGGCCTACACCGTACAATGGAAATCGACGGACTTTGTGTGCCGCCTTATGAGTGTTTTCAGAGTGTTTGGATTGTATTTATCCAGTTTCGTGATGGCTTGCATATCAATTGATAGGTAAGACAAATAATAAATTTGCACAACACGATCTGATAAATTTTACATCTCTATACATTCATTCACTTGGACATTACACACACATTTTATGCTTAAATATTTGTGCTTTATTTTGTATCTCATTTGATTTAAATTTTATAGATATTTTGCGATACTAAAGCCACTCAAACTATCAACCAACCGGGGACGGATTATGCTATTGATTGCTTGGATTTGTTCATTATTCTGCAGTTTGCCGCAGGTTTGTGTTATAGTTTACATTTCATAAATATTTTATTATTATGTACAATTTGTATTTAAATTTTTATTTCTTTTATATTATTTTATTCCTATACTAGGCATATATATTTCATCTGGAAGAGCATCCTCACGTGAAGGGTTACTTTCAATGCGTCGACTTTCATTCTTTTCCAAATGATTTCGACAAGTTGTCGTACAATATTTCCAATATGTTTGCCATGTATGCTTTTCCACTAACAACTTTCATTTTTTGTTATGGAGCAATCTACTTGGAAATATACCAGAAGAGCAAACGTGTTGTTAAAGGAGTTGGTGAGTGGAGGTGTGGTGTTATTTTTATTTTTTATATGTTTTTTTTAAATCATATTTTTACCATAAGAGCCAAGGGAAAAAGTTATTGAAAGTCTTATTGAAAGAAAAATAATTTGTTTACAAAAATTTTAATAGTGTTGATTGAGAAATCAGAAAAGACACAGAAAATTAATTTTACTAGAATTCTATTACTCGAATGTTAGTAGAAGGACTTTCGAATTGTAGAGAATTGCGAGCACAAAACTTTTTTTTTAATTAATTGAATTTTCTTGGGGGACCACAAAGTTCTCTAAACAGTTACTAAAATCATTATCAGTGGTCTTTGGAAATATTCTATGGTTTTATAAGTCCGTATATGTATAATTGTTGGAGCACAAGTGCCAGGTTCTCCATTTTAGTCCCATAACTTTTCCATATGCAACCAGATTTGAAAATGGTGCAATTTTCTTTTTTAACTCCTATGCAGTATGTCTAGTTTCGTTCTTAAGTTTGTTTTTATATCTGACTAATTATGAGACACACAATCTTATCTCTCGTTTTTGCAAAAAGCCATGACTGTTTCTGCAAAATGGCTTTTAAGTTAAGTAAAGATAGGTTGGTATTATTTAACTTTTTGTAACCATACATATGTTAATGAAATATATAAAGTGACGGAGCTAGACCAACTCTGAACATCTACGACATCTGAATTAGCAAGCACCTTTCATTACCGAGTTATGAAAGTAAATAATTTGCATTTATTAATTAACGAAGCATGTATGAAATTATGTGTTGGTAATTAAATAAAAATAAACCCAAATTTTCCTACCCCTAGCTTCACAGAATTTTTTTTATATTACATATATCATAATTTGCACCAGCTGCTATTTTCGCTTTAATTGATAGAATTATCAATGCAGATAGTCAGGCTTGGCTCATCATACTTCTCAAGTAGACCTTAATCAATTTTAACTTTAAGAAGCTTCTTTTAGCAGAAGTTGTACTGTCTGGAACTGTGAGCATGATTCTGGTTGCTATATGAACATTCAGATATACTTCTTCTTAATTAAATTCTTTAATATACCGAATAACTTGGTTTTTATTGTTGATTGAGTCTAGTGAGCGATTTTAAAAGCTGCAGTTTCTCATACACTTCAAAAGGATGAATGTCGCTGTTTTTACCTTCCCGAAGAATTCTACCTAAAGTATTACAATGCTTGAGGAAGTCTTCGTTTGGTATACTCTTCATATGATTAATGTCATATATGAAACCAAATTGTTTAAAATAGCCATTAACAACTTTGAATCGACAGTCGATTTCAATTAGGATAACATCTATCATTGTAGTAAAAAAATTAACTGAATACTATATTTCAACGGATTGTAAGGGTTCATCAATATGTTCGTGACTGAACAAACGTTTCACTTGCTGTTCTTTTTTCTTTAAATTTAGGTGCATTTTTGTAACTATTTTTTTTTGCAATCAATTGGGCGTTTTTTAAATCTAGTATTACGATAGTCTTTTACCTAGGTACAAAATGAGCGTAGCGATCTTCAAGTTTACTTCAATCGATCGCTATAGGTAATTGATATTGTTCACTCGTAATAAAAGTTCGTACCACACGTGTATTGAAATAATGAACTTGAAAGTTAGCTTTTCATTCAGAACTGCTTTGCAATCACTTAGAGGTTCTGAATGACATGTTTTATTTTTCAAGTCATTCACTCATTCAAAAACATCATTAAATTGCAATAATATTGCTTTTACTGCTTCGATTCTACTCTCCCAGAGAGGTCGATCGTTAAGGTCGTTTTTAATTTAGTTTTTAAAAGTTTTCGTCAACGCTTGCTCAACTTTGAAAAGGTTTTATTAATAAACCCGAAATACGTTTTCGCTGTTGGTAAAGAATTAGCTGCATCAATCAAATACAATATATAATATCAGTACATAATGTAAAAGGTAAAAAGCCTTACAATTCCATTCTAAACAGAAAAAATGAACTAGACGTAATTTCTCTGGGGCAGTCAATATATTAGCTTGTAGATAACAGTAACATATAATACGTAAGTAACCTAATACACATCTTAACATACACAAGCTGCGATTTGTTTTCTGACCATTCTCCAGTTATATTTTGTTTACTTGGTGGTCCTCAGTTATATGACTGCTCGTATAGCCCTACAAGTCCTAGAACAAACTGGCTAAAATATAAAAAGTTCATTAGTTCACACATACACACAAATTACAAGATATAGTGTAATTCTGATATGGAGGACGCAATCTCGGTTTTAAACTTAATTTTGATTTTAGCAGCAGAAAACTCCATCTCTTAAGACAATAAAATTTACACACTCAATAAAGTACTTACAAATAGTGACATAGAGAGTTAAGCTTTACAAAAACGTAGGTTAAGCAATTAGCAAAAATGTAGGTCCCCTTCAAAGAAAACCGAATTCAAGAATGCCCAAAGGTGACTTAAAATTTTATTAAGCAGAGAAACCAAACTCAGACGATATAACTATATTCAAAATCTATGTCCAAATGGCTAAAAACATTCATCAGGACATTATAACTTTCCAATTCAGCATCAATATGTACCATCTATTGACATGAATATTACGGCCAATGATCTTGTTCAAATAATCCCCACGTAAGATTGCAAAAAGGCACCTCCGAGTTATGATAACATCTCACCTCATGATAAAAAAAATACTTCTTTTGGCCATAAATTTTATTATAAAACTTTTTAACACCATCATTAAATTTGACTTTTATCCAACAGAGTGCAAAACATCCATGATTATTATAATTTATAAGTCAGTTAAAGACCCCATGCTTGCCTCTTCATACAAGCCAATAAGTTTATATAAAAGATACGCTATCTATTACGTGCTAATGTCCACTCAGTTTTAAAATAGTATCTACAGAGCAGAAGTTTTATATTCAAATGCAATTCATTTACTTCTACTAACTTCCTAATAGAAGTTCTCATTTCACAGGGAGTGTTCTTGGCCCTATCTTGTATGTACTTCATATTTCTGATATCCCAATAAGTAATTTAGTTGTCACCATAACGTTTGCCGATGATACAGCAATTTTATGCCGAAACAAAAACGTTGTCTTAGCTTCAAACCCACTTCAATCTCAAAGTCAAAATGGCGAACTAAAATTAATGAGCTGAAATGTAGATACGTCATTTTTTCCTTAAATCGGAGTATATATCCAACAATTTTACTAAAAAACATTCCCATACCACAAGCAAATAACGCAACTTGGCGCAAGCATATTGAAGCTAAAAAAAAAAAAAAGAAGTGCCAAGCCTCTTAGTTGCACTGGCTTATTAATAATAGATCTTTCCTTTGCCTAGAGTGTAAAGTACTTTTGTATACCAGCATCATAAAACCAATATGAATTTATGGTATCCAGCTATTTGATAATGCTAATGCTTCAAATATTGATATTATCCAAAGAGCTCAGTTAAAAATACTGACCACAATCACTAGTGCCCCATGGTATATAAAAATGAAAGTATCCATCGAGATCTACAAATTCCCTTAGTTAAAACTGGTTTTGACAATATAAGGAAAAAAATACAATAAAAGGCTAGATAGGATCTCGCATTTCTATTCACTACTTGCCTCCTAAAAAGAGCTGATCGTCCAACTATAAATTAAAATTCAATAGGTTCAGGTAAAAACCCCACTCTTCTATTTTGTAATCTGATAAAGTTTAATTGCTTACTTAGTAAATCTCCATATATTCACTCCAATGAAATTTAACCAATTGAATTAAGTGACGTCCGTGATATAAGGTTTACTTATTTTATTTTATATTATACAATGTATAGTTAAAATAAAAAATTGTAATATTATCTAATTAGTTGTAATATTTTAAAACTTGTTGTTAGTCTTATTGTAAGAAAAGATATAATAAATAAATATATAAGTATTTAAAAAAAAAAAACAAAAAAAAAACATTTCAATAATTAGACCGAAATACTACCATAAAAAAATTGAAACTGATGAAAATTGAAACTAGAATACTTTGGTCTTATTTAAAGACATCCAATAAGTTATGGACTACTTAGAATGACTATATAAGGTAAAATTGACTTAAATGCATGACAGTGGTGCGGTAAAAATTGTTTCGCAATTCTCTGAACAAAGCAAAAATAGGAACTACCTGCATATGTTACCCGAAATTCGAAATGTTCAAGGCGCTTAAAAAGATAATAATCAACTTATATGTCCATTTTTACACATAGATTAAATCTGTTTTGTAAATCCTTGATGAGAGATTAATCGCATATATAGTCTGGGTTTAGGAAATTTCACAGTGCGTATTTCTGAGTATATCTGCATATTTAAGAATTAAAAGAAGTCGAATTGGAATATCAAAGAGTCATGCATCGGATAAATCGCTATAAAATATATTTTTTATGAAATATATACAATATTTTAAAAATTTTTTATTTGAACATCTTAAGATCGACATCAATTTTCAATATATATTTCATAACAAAATCAAATGAGATAGGACTCCATCTTATTTTGATAAGATAAGATGATTCTAATGCAGATACTACAGTACCGACATGAAAGATAACACCATAAACACGTGCAACGCTTTTATATAGTTTCTTATACGAATGTAGTGAGTTATGATTTCATAAAGGCGAAAAAATATTTTGAATATTAAAAACCTGTAATATCATTTGGATGATCTACTCACTGACAGTGAAAACTTCTTGACCCAATCAGAAATAAGAAATTTACTACTAATATTCTGCTCTGTATTCGGTAGATATTTTATCAATTGTTCAGTCAGTGTTTGTTCTTTAATAAAAAGGTTTTGTTATGGAAGTTTGTATTCCCATGAAATTCTTAGTCTTGTTTTTAATTGTTTTTAAATTTATTATTTATTTCATTATTAAATAATTAGATTAGATTAGATTATGCTGGCAGACCAAAAAGGCCACGCGTAGACCATTAAGGTCCGTTGCGACACCATATCAGAGTCTTATTTTAGTGATTGTGTGCAGCACTTAGAATGCGCGTTTCATTAGCGAATTTTATTAGGATTTCAACAGAAACCTCAGGTATGTGCTACAGTCCTGCAAAACTGAAAGCTCCCAAGTATTTTTGTCGAGTTCTCGAGAGGGCCGGGCAATTACACAGCAAATGCTCTAGAGTTTCCTCGTTGCATTTCCTACAAGCATCGTTCTGAATTAGGTTTAGTTTGCGGGCATGTGATGCGACTAGACAGTGACCTGAAATAATAAATAATAAACTACTTTTGTTTTTTAATTTTTACTGGTTGTTACTATAATAATATTCTTAATTGATTAAATATTTATTAGGGCACATACTATATATTGATAGAGTTCCCTGTTTGAAGAATCATATAAATTTAATTATATTTGAATATTAAAACCCTATTAAAATTCCTATCTATGAATATACATATATAAAGCGGAGTCTTATATATTATTTATAATTTAGTAATGTTTTATTTATTTAAATTTATGTATGTTTTTATGTATGTATGTAATTGGAATATTTTATTTTGTTAAATTAATTTTTTAAAATTGTGTTTCAGAACGTTTTAGACGATCTAATGATGATGTTCTCGGTCGTGCTAAAAAGCGGACCCTTAAAATGACCATTATTATTGTACTGGTGTTCATCATATGCTGGACACCGTATTATATTATTTGCATGTGGTATTGGATTGATAAGTCTTCGGTGGAAAATATTAATCCATTAGTACCGAAAAGTTTATTTATTTTCGCTTCAACCAATTCATGCATGAATCCGATTGTTTATGGTGTTTTCAATATACGTAGTCGGAATAACAACAACAATAATGCGGTAAGTCTAAATTTTTTTCATAAAAAAATCAATAAAGCTATATTAAATTATATTATATATTTTTATTATTTATTTATTTAAAGTAAAAAAAAAAATGTGAGTTACATTAAAACAATATATAATAGTAACTAGAATATAATATAGAGTGTACAGGTACTTAAATCGTATAGATTTTGCATATATATATATATACAGTTAAACTTCCATAATTCGAAATAGTTGAAGCTTTTCCCTAATTTCCTTTTCTCAATTCTTCCCTAAGCTGAGGAAAGCTTATAAACTGAAATCTACATAATCCAGATATTAGATCATAAACTTTATTATGTTAGACGAATGTAATACAATGTCATATTCGGTATTTAGTACAAAATTTATTAAGTACTTAAAAATTTAATCAAAAGCTGCATTACATACGCACAAACTAAACCTTATTCACAGAGATGCTTGTGGGAAATGCAATCAGCCGGATGCAAAGAAAACACTGGAGCATCTGCTAAATAACTGCATGGCTCATTCGTGAACTCGACAAAAATACTTAGGGGCTGTCAGTTTTACATAACTGGAGTATATATCTAAGGTTTCTATTCAAATACTAATAAAATCCCTGATCGATAATAATACGCGCATTCTAAGTGATGCACACTATCGCTAAAAATTCAGACTCTGATCTGGTATCGCAATGGATCATAATGATCTACGCGTAACCTTTTTGGTCTACCAGCATAACCTAACTTAAGCTAACCTATAATTTCAAAATTTTGTGAATAAATATTATAATAATGAAATTAAGATATAACAAGCTAATCTCTACACAAAAACTTGTCTTAAAAACATTAAGTCCGGAATTGTCTGAAACTCACAAAATTTCTGCTTATGTGCTGATCTTGTTCTGACATTATCAGATTGATGTGCTATAGATATAACACAATCTCTATATTTTTATACATGTTACTCAAAGAATGCAAAATAAATATTTCTCAACAGTTGAATTTATCTGTCCGGTACTAAACAAAGGAGGGACAATAAAAATGAAGCGCATTTTAACGGCAAGCTTTGTTTAGAAACCTCGTTTATTGGTATTAAAATTGCTAAAGGCTTACGTAACTAATGGTTAATAGTTAGATAACTATAACTATATATATAACTATTATATATCAGTAGTTGCTTGTGTTATATAAAAATCTAAAAGTATTTGCTTTTCGATACCATGCACTATGCATTAATTACATATACCGAAACATTCCCACATACTATATATATCTAATTTGCGCGGAACTATATATATGTATACGGTCTAGTAGTTTAATTCCCGAACACAGCTAAAATCAAATCTTTCGTAGTAGGATACTTTTTCAATATTGTAGAGTAGGTGTAACTTTAAATAGACGGTTCATGTGTACTATATATATGAACATGATGATATTATGTTCATATTTTTTAATTTTAATAAGATTATAATAATTTATTTAATTACATTAATAAGTATTTGTTTTTAATATACATATATATATATGATATTTTACTGTTCTCTTAATATATACGTAAACATTACTCTTTCTAGTCGGTGAATAATCGGCACACATCTTTATGCAGTCGACTTGATTCTTCCAATCAATTGCAGAAGAATTTACCGAACTTGCAGAATCTACCGATTCTCACAACAACCATTGAGACCAATGGCGTTACTGGAGAGAACAAGAGCACCACCATATCGGCAGAAGTGTCAGCTTATGATAAAGAAAAGTCACCCGTCATCTGTTACAAGTAATGTACTGCTTTCTCCCACCTTTTTTGAGATTAATTCAAAAAGTTTATGCAAAAAAAAATAATGTTATCAAAATTGTGTTTAAATATTTTTGGTTAATGTTTAAATAGTTTTATTTTTTTTTTTTAATAATACTTGAAAATTTTGTTTGTTAGCTTTGTAGTTATTCAATTTTATTTGGAACCTAATGTGAGCATATACTCGTATATGAAATATTTTAATCGATTTGATAGTTTTAATCAATTCAATAAGTCGGCTGCAAAGATATTTGTGTGTTCACTTATCTGGTGTATTTTCAGCTGTGGTGACTCCATTGAACTTGCTAATCTTCAAAAGCCATAATTCCATAATATTAATCTGCGCGTACGTGTTTAAGCTATAGATTGAAGCGGTTAGTTTGTCGAATGGTCATTTGCGACTTCAGTCACAGTCAGTCGCTTAACTCTGTCTGACTCTGCCTGACTCTGCCTGTGTGCTGGGATGCATTACACAAAAAAAAACCAAAAAAAAAGAAAACAAAAATAACAACAACAAACCATTTTATTAGTAACAAAATAAAATTAAAAAACGGCCACTGATATCGTAGGCCCAGCAAAAATATTTTCATCATATCAGTTCGCTTTAGATATTGGCATGGATATAAGTAATTAATTATTGTCACATTATTATAATTAATTTAAAATAATTTATTCACAATGAACAAAATAAATTAAGTTACTCCACTAATTATTAATTGATGTTTTAATTAAAATGGTTTTATTATTAAAATAACTAATAAAATAAAAATTAACCTTTAAAAATTAATAAATTAACGATAATAAAAAGTTACATATTATAATTTATTTTACATAAATTAAAATTAATATTTAAACTATGTAAAATTGAAATGCTGAACATTCTTGAAATATGGAGAAAAACCAGATTCTGGAATTGAGATCTTAAAAATCATGGGTGCAGATATGGATAATCTCAGCAACTAACGGTAATCCATAGACATAGAGGCATTAAGAGGATTGTATCAAGTAAGAAAGATTGATGTTACTATGATGAAAGAGGAGTGGATGGTTATAGAACCGGAATAAATACCAGAGAGCAAGTAATACTATGTAATCATCTTGTCGTGAACAAAAGCATTAGGGAAGCACAACCTAACAAGCTTATGCTTATAGGTATTTAATAAAATGAAGGACTTTACGCTTATTAAACCGAAATTCTTACATATGAAGAGAATTAAAAACTAAATATGTTAAATTAAAAATTATTATTACGATATTTAAACATATATCTTATTATAAAAATAGTTTCATTATGAAAGTTATATTACTAAAAGAAAGCACTTTTGTGCATATGTAAGGCTTTATATTAATACAAAACTATATATATAAGTAAGAGGCACTATTGTTTAATTGAATGGGAACTTATTTCCCAACTTGTTTTAATAATTGTATTGTGCCTTTTTTTTCTATGTCTTCTTCTTCTTTTCTTGTTATTGTGTACATATATATAATTCATAAAGAAAACATACTTTTTGATCTTTTTGAACCTTTTGCCCTCTTGTGACATTAAAAAAATAGGTGAATTTCAAAGAGAATCAGATTTCATAGCAAAACAATCTATTAATAATAACATTAGTGGATCAGTTCATCCAATCCTTTATTAAATTTTTATGATGCCATGCGAATTTTTCATTTTCGGAAAAGTACATTTGCCGATTAAGGAAAACATTTTGTGGACGTAGAAACCATATGAAACGCTTGTACTCACATCACTCTCGTCGATCACTCTCATTTAGTGTATATTGTATAATTCTTGTGAAGAGTTAACAGAGACCTATTTTGAATAGAAGATATCGGTTTTGGCCAAACAAAGAAACTTTTTTGATTTATAACAAGTACTGTTATAAATGGTCTTGTCCTCATTATTGAAACATTTTGTAAGGTAGAAATATTGCAAAAAATTACGTTCCTCTCAATTGAAAACCATATCAAAATATAAAGTCAGAAATCCAATCTAACTTGGTGGAAAACACTATCTTACTATTTTAAAGAATATGACTTCAGTTTGGGGCCAATTTTTTTTGCTGGTAATTACTACTATGTAATAACAAACGCATTTTATGGGTGTCGAGACATCACATCCAGGAACTGCGAACTATTAAAAGCGATTCAAAAAGATAATTTGTCATCTTTAATCACCGATCAACCTATTGGCTTTTCGACAAACTAAATACCTGATCTAGTTTACATTTGTGAATGCAAATGAATTTAGTCAAACCAACTGAAAACATATTTCTAATTTAAGCTGTCATTGGTAATTCCCTACCTACATTTACAATAAATACCAATATTCAAACCCAACAAAATAGACTATCAACACACCATCTAAGAATATAATATCATAGAGACCAATAAGACTTTCACCGCTAGTCAGCAAAGATTTCGAGAAAATCATTACCTTAGTTTTAGAGAAAGTCATAGCAGTCACAGTAAAATAAGTGTATTGAGTTCACAAATCAGGAAAAACAGAATGAGAAAAGAAGGAACTATGCTACCTTGTTGTATATCTGTCGTGTTCGCCACATGAACACTGCAAGGCTTACTGCAGTTCTTTCTGGCCATTGGTGAACAGGAAACCATAATACTTTGTGAATGCTCGGATTTGGCCTCTAGAAGAAATAGGTTTTTAGGACAATACTTCTTTGACAGTTTATCAGATTGTTCATCGGTTAGCACGAGAGAACTGTTATATTATTTATCTTCGATGGAATGGTTTTAGTCCCTACTCTTTTATTTTAGTTTATCTCGCGAGGAATGTGGCAGCAAAACGGTGAAACATTGCTTATTGAGGTACATGGAAGTTATCTGATGGCCTACCACTGCAATCAACGAACCAACCAACATGTCCTGTTAAACAAAAAACAGCTGTCCTTAGATGACAGCGCTTAGTACCTTGACATAAAATGAGATAAATTAATAATATGGAAAATATATCTACCAATAGAAAAGCGCTGATTATTAGGCAGACATTCTTAACTCTCTCTTTGCAATAACAGTTCTTGTTTATAAAACAAATCTAAAATCCATGTGGTTTTTTATTAGTCAATTATGGAACTTAGCTGCCAAGCCAGATATTGTGAAATTTCAACGTTTTCAGTTACTAGATCTTCGTATCATAACAAACGATCGTTGATGTGTACCTGATAAGAAACTTCAGCGTGCTATTAATATGGCCCTAATAGAATTTTTTGTGTTTTAGCGGAGAAAAGATTTAAAAATGTCTAACGTATCGTCACTATGTCATCACAACAGTGGAATGCTCGATTTGCTTGGACTAAAACAATCTCCCCCAATCCCTTTCTATCCTGAACTTTGTCGGGAATTTTTCAGGATAAGGCCCCTATGTTGGTTTTTTATTAAAAAATTTTGTTTTTCTTCGTTAGCCTGCGTCCAGGGCTCCCTCAGGCTTATTTGTTTTTCTCTTTTTTAAAATTGCTTTTTTTTAAAATAAAATTTTCTGGCCTTAGTAAAATTACAAGTAAAGCGATGTAACACATCATATGCATTTTCTTTAGTCCGAGCCGAACTTCCTCGCTATGGAATTATCACAACTTTCAAACCTAAAAAAGTTTCGACCAAATAACTAAGTGGCTTCGAGATAACTTTTTAAATTAATTTAAGGTCAAGAAAAACAAACAGATCTAGGAGTAACCGAACTCCCTTGCTATAGAATTATTATAACTTTCAAGCATGAAAAAATTGCGTCCAAATAACTTGGTAGCTTTAAGATAACTTTTTAAGATAATTTACTGTTAACAAAGTCAAACAGACCTAGAGATAACAGCGGTAACAGATTTCCTCCCAACGTTAAAAAATTATATATTCATAGGTATTGCTTAAAGTTCAAATATGTATTATAAGGCTTGATTGGAGTTTATTTTTAAATATCCGTTTCATAATGGCTTGCCTTAGGATATTGTAAATAAGTTCAAGAAATTAAAAAAAAACATGAAATACTAAAATCATGGACGCATATGAATTATATCTAACATTATTTAAACATCGATATATAACAGATATATATATGGCTTCGATATATAATAATTTTAGTATTCTAACCCACGGGGAATGAGATGATAATTATATAAAACTAGTTGTTGTCGCAAAAACTGTTTTATAATTTCTTTTAATCACATCGCATGATTAGTATTTTAGTATCTGAAGAATGTGAATGAGGGGGAAGTAGTTTAGATAAAAGAGTTTTATTTTTTTTTTTTGTAGATGAAATTGTTAAAAATGATATAAAACCTATTTGACTATTTTACTTAATAGATTCTGCTTGATTTTTAATTAATGAAATGAGAATGAATATCTTTCAATTTGTCGCATACAAAGAGGACACATATTTTACGTGCTTCTAATCGCATAAGAGACAAGCCCATATTTAAATTTACATATTTTGTAAACATATTGTATATTCATGTTTACATCAATTTATATATTTATTGGTTTTTTATCTAAATCGCCCAGGCAAACATAAAAAATTTATTAGAATTTATTTAATATATCTGCAATCTTTGACGTAAAAGAGCAATTAAGTAAATTTATACTTATTTTCCAAGTGAAGTGACACTTTTTTCCGATGCTCTCTCATTTTATTAGCATTAATGTTGCACTCATTTAACTTTAAAATTTGTCTCATATAAATTTTTGATATTTTATTTAGCTGTTTTTAGCAAGTATCTTGGCACACAAACTCTTCCCGCGAGATGCCAACCTACCTACCTACTACGACTAAGTTCAGCAGTTCTAGTAACGATCGATAGCACTAAAAATCAAAGCATTGCCTGTGCCTATGTCTATGGCTTTGCCTGTGCTTTTGCTTGTGCTATTGTAGATCTTGCCGCATAGCCACGCAGAGGTAGAAATCATATGAATCAATTGGAGAGTGGGATGCGTGGGCTGCCATGGGTTGTAAATAAATAAATTCCAGCAAGTGTTTCTGACTAAATCTTACAAAACAATAACAACAATATTTTCGATAGGATGAACTCTTCAGCAAAAATTACAGTAGATCGCTTGAATAAAATTAATATATTAAATCTTTTTATATATAGTAAGACATAAATCACTGCATATTGAATATTAGGTACATATGTATATTGAAATTCATTCCATAACGAAGACTTTTATCTGGGTTCTGTGTTCGTTGAAAGAAACACCAAAGGAAATTATATAAAATCTAAACAAGGTAATAGCCTAGTATTTAACATTTTTGTTTTTCAACTAGTCGCTTTTTTGTGACTTCGAACTCTGTAAGGATTTTAAGTGTATAGATTAACTATTTCTATAATACCAGGATTAAAAAGATTTTTACCAAGATTTTAAATAGAAAATTCTATGACTAACGGTAATTTTGTTCGACAATTACCGCTAGCATTAATTTCCTGCTATTTTTGCTTTATTATTATTATTTTTTCTTTATCATTGAGAAAGATCGGTATTCACTTTGATCGTAGATTGGCGTGGAATGTTTATATTAAAGCTAAACGCAGGCAGTTCAGTACCAAAGCTAAAAAATGTACTGGTTGCTTGTACGAAACTTTCAACTCAGCTTAGTGAACACAGTAAGACTCTATAAAGCCATTTTTAAACCGATCTGGACATATGCATTTCAGCTGTGGGATGCAGCGAGCAATTCTAACATAGAAA